CAGGCTGAAGAGGGATGACTCAGCGAAAAATGTGCGGAAATAGAAAGAATGAGTATCACAGATAAAGCAGATATGAATAAAAAATGAGAAAACTAATAGGACAAAAGACATGCTCATCAACAGGATGCATAAAATCCAAGGACGGAACGATGATATTAGATAAAGAAAAAATACTTAACATATGGAAGGAATATATCTGAGACCTTTTTCCGCGACGAAAGCGAGCAACCGACAATACACTGAAATATAGACGGACCGGAAATATTTAAAACTGGCCAAATTGAATAGAAACAAAGCGGCAGGGCCAGAATTGTAATAGAGATTCTGGCAGCCTTATATGATTTCGACATAGACAAGGTTACAGAAATAATAAATGAAGTCTGCAACAGTGACGATATAACGGAAGACCTAAGTAGATCTATTATCATGGTACTGCCTAAGAAATCATATGCAAACGAATGTGAACTCCCGCAATCAGCCTAATGAGCCATATAGCAAAACTCATCATCCGAATTCTGATGATTAGAACACGTAGTAGAATCAAACCGGAGATAGCGCACAAACAGTGCAGATTTGTCAAAGACACTGGAAATAAGGAACGCGATATTTGTGTTCAGAATGTTATCAGTAAATCTCATACATAATACAGAAGGACGTTTACCTGTGTTTTATAGACTACGCGACGGCGTTCGATAAACTATGCCACAAATATCTGTTGGAACTGCTCAGCAACTTTGATATATTTGGGAAGGATATTAGAATAATCAAGAACCTATATTGGCAGAAAACCGCTTGCATACGGATAGAAAATGAGCTCAGCAGATATACAAAAATAGAAAGGGGTGTAAGACAAGGATGTGTCTTCTCACCGGACTTATTCAGTCTATACAGTGAGGCGACTCTGAGAGAATTAGATGTCCTATAAGGATTCATTATTGGCGGCTACAATCCTTAATAACATATGATAAGCAGATGACACAATGTTCATACCAAACACGGAAACAAAACTACAAAATCTCCTAAAGAAGGTAGTGAAGGAAAGTGAGAAGAAAGGACTAAGCATAAACTACAAGACAGAATGTATGGTCGTTAGCAAAAGGATGAGCCCCAAGGTGCGAATATATATATATATATATATATATATATATATATATTGGTATATATAAAAAGTCATTTCTTTGTAACTTAGATGTTCGACTTGCTTTAGGCACTTGGTGCCAATTAAATGCTTTGTTATTTTTTTGTTTTATTTTTAACCAAATTTTTAAAAGTTAAAACCCATTTGTTTTTGTGGAAACTTAAATAAAAGCTGTCTGTAAATATGAGAAACCATACAGATTATCTGGCGTTGAAGGAATGTATTATTGTCGAAAAAAGAGAGAGGAAGAGGGCTTGTTGTTTCTTTCTTTTATAGTCCTTACAGATAATTACCGTATTTCCTTTTCGACCCATCGACCGACCGTAGCTAAAGAACGCGTGTGTTGACTCGTGGACAAACTGTAGCTTAAGAAAGAAAATATGGTAGTTTCTTTACCCTTACGGAATTATGTGGTAGCAGGGTTGCAGTAATTACCGTTAAACCAGTGGTTCTTAACTTTTTTTGAATTACGGTTCCGTTTAGTCACGGACCCCTTGAGTCACAAACACTTATAAGAACAAGTCTTTTCATAGGCAGATAGACACACAAGCAGTTACTCAAAGTCTGATTTGGTTTTTCACAACACTTATATGGACACACGCATCGCTTTTCAGCCAACCTCAAATAATAAACCTCTGAACTGAGGTTAAAACATTATGAAAATATAAAATTACATTTTCATAGTAAAAAATTACCAGCAATAAAAATTTTCATAAAAAAAATTTGCACCAATAAATTTTTGAAAAAAAATAAATTACCAAGAAAATTAAATTTCGACATTAAATGGTCCTTAAGGATTTTATATGTCACTAAACAAACCAAACCAATCAAAATAATATATATATATATATATCGACGGTTTGATTTCTTCGAATAGTACAAATCGATTATCTTACTAATTTTTTTTTAGAAATAATATTTTAATTAATATTATGAATTATTTGGACATACATTTTCCTTTCGTTTTTATTCTTATCTCTTTTTATCACAACACTCGACTCTTTATATTATATGAATATTAAATTGGCAAGTAACGTGAATCAAAAATCTCGTAACTCCTCGCGAGATTTAAATTCATATCTCTTGGGAGTCCGTCTGACGTGAACGTCGTCAAGAAAATGAAAAAATTAACATTTAAAAAATAGACAAAATAAATAATGAAAATATTTCCTTTCAGAAATACAGACAACTTAAAGACTCTTTTTATGTCTACTACTACTACAAGATAGTGAATAATATGGTGCGGACAACTGGATGAAGGAAAACGTGACAGCTCTATGTAAATATTTTATAGCATTGTGCCTGTGGTCATATTGGTTTAGACGACGTCCATGTCAGACGAGCTTACAGGATATGGCTAGCGTGTTCGAAGGTTATTCATTTCCTATTCGCGATGCTTAATTTTGAAGCTGACAGCATTAGGCCATTCTCTACAACAATAGGATCACGGTTTTCAGGAAATTGAATTTCTTCAATCATCTTTTCTAACCAGTCAAAAGAAAAGAGATAAGTGGCTATCGAACTGCCGTTTGAAGCTGACCCAAGTCCATAAATAATAAAAATTCAGTTGATCAGTTTCTATTTTCGAAATAACACTGTGAGTATTTAAACAAATTAACTTTAAGATTCAGTATGTAATCTTAAAATGTACAGACGGTGTAGGGCTTAGCCACTCGGAACGAGGAATCAGAGAATCGAGTTCGTTACATTTGTGGGTAAAGAAGTTGTTTTTCTTATACACTTCGACTGTCAACAAAATGTTGTGGGGGATTTATCCACATTACAGCAGTAAAAATTGGCTTCGTGTTCACGAAGATAAAAGTATACCTGACAGGAAATAAAATGTACACAAATAACAGGAAAAGCATGGTAAATTGTAAGTTAATTTCATACAATTTATCTATATTTTTGATGTGTTCATTTTTTTAGTTATAATTGTTTTATGGTACATGTGATAAAGGGGGTGAAATTTACTCCGTAGTATTACAAGCCATATCACAGAGTAGTTGGACATGTGTTGCTCGTACCAAGGTTTGTGGTGAATTGATTGAATTTAACGCCTTTTGGCGGGATGTCCGTATTTCCAACAGGAACAGTTTTTGTTGCATGCTGGAATTATTTTTATTATTTTTAATTTTTATTTAATTTATTTTATAAAACGTTTTTATGCTGTTTTGTTTTATTTTATTTTATTTATAATTTTCATTATTATTATTATTATTATTTTATTTTTATTTATTTATAATAATAATAATCCTACACATTCACTTTCACACGAATACGAAGGAATTCCTCTCTTTCCCCCCGAACTATGGCATAAATAATAAAACAGACTCGGCTCTTCAGCCTTTGATGGCAACTAATCTAAGACAGGGGCAATTCTGAAATCAAACTAGTTGGACATGGGGCTGGCGATTCTACCCCATAAAAACCTACTTGCTATGGAAACCGCAGCAGCAACATCTAGAGTGGTGAGCCTGTGGCTCCAGCGTGGTGAGACTGTGCTCCCATACACAAGAGAGTGTAATGAAATTGCATTATTAAGTGTTGATTTTATATTTTTTTACGGCTTACCAACCGTTTTTGTGTATTATTTAAAGCAGAAAGTTATTTTAGATTATTTTTTTTTAACAAAGGTTCTTTATTAACATTATATTCGATTCTGACGATCTTGTACTTCCTGGCGTGAATCACATACTACAGACGTTTATAAACTTCTAATAAAATGAATATCCCACTTAATACTGCTAGTATTTTCGGGTCTATTGGCCAGCAACTGATTACATTATCCGCATTTCAATTGTGGTGAATGACGTCTTGCACTAACATCTCTTTCACACATGGTTAGTTTATCTGCTGGTGCTATATTTTTCACATAGACGCTCCCACGTATAATGAGTGATGTGTTTGTTTTGGGGGTTATTTTTGTTGTTGCTGTTTTGCTTGTTTTTTTTTTAGACGGAAACAGAACTTTTATTCACTTCAATTTAGATAATTACATGCGTATTCAATAAAGATATCTGCACACTTCATGCAATTGGTGTCATTTATTAAGTAAAATTCTTATTGCTGCAAGATCAGTCTTCAATTTGTGCATCAATATATTTTATTACAGTAACTTTAACCTCCGAAAGATATAGATAAAATTTCTAGGGAACATAATGAGGAAAGAGGGCTTGGAAAATTTAATAATCACAAGACAGATTGAAGGCAAGTGGGACAAAGCAAAACAATACGTAATCTACCTAGTAAGCTTGAGTAAATGGATGACAGAACAGGATTTTGAAGAGATAAGAAAATGTATTAAGAGCTACAAATGACAGGAAATTGTGGGGAGCCACGATCGTCCACGTCCTGAAGAAACACGGCAAATAGAAGAAGAATGAGCTTGAGTACATGGATGGTGGAACAAGTTTGGGGAGAGATAGCAAAAAGACTAAGTTTATTATTAAAAACTACAAAAGACAGGAAAATGTGGAGAACCATGGCCGCCAACATCCTGAAGCTGCACGGCACATAGAAGAAGAAGAAGAATTATTTCGAGAGCAATTTTTTTCACTTTTACATCAACTCTCTACAAAATTGATGAATACCATTCGTTCACTAACGAGAGCATTTAAAGAGACTCGAACTCATTTCTTTCTAAGTCAATCTTGACCAATGAAACTGAAAGAAGCATTAAATACAATTGTTTTGTTTTTTTTCTTTTTGAACAAAACAAAAAAGGCTTTATATTTTTCATTCGAATTGTTTGCATTTCAATGTTTTACAAAGAAGCTTATGAAATTCTCTTTTTATGAAAATGGATAAGGATTTGAAATAACGAAGAATTCCAAAAATATCGAAAAGCTGAGAGGGGCAAATGATTTCTTTCTCTTTCTCTCTCTTTCTCTCTCTCTCTTTCTCTCTCTCTCTCTGGTTAAATTAGTGGGAAAATATTTCGAAAAAATTGAGAGCAAGAGGAACAGAGATAAAGAACAACCTAGCGAGCTTGAATAAATGATTGTAGGACAGATAACAGAAACACAAAATTTATAAAGAGCTACAAAAGACTGATTTTTTTCTCTATAGGATAAAACGTATACAGTTTCAAAAAGAATGTGATGACTTAAATGGCTATTGTAACTAGTATTTGCATCACAATTTTTGTACATTTTTCATACGTTTTAAACCACGAGACCAAGAAATTTTAATTTCCGACATTGATTAGAATTGGTGACGAGGAAAATTCCTGTCAAATTAACACAGTCTATTTTTATTTTATTAATTAAAAATCCATGTAAAATCGTATACTTACCACCCAATCCCAGCAAGGTTCACTTAAACGATCAAAAATCGACCCCCCTACTTATCCACTTTATTTAGCAGTGAAATAACTCGAGATATTTTTCGAAAAGCCTCTTTCACTAAGACTATATTTTAACTTCTATATTTTAAAACTAATTTGTTTTACAATCACTGCATATATCTTTAGCTTCACTTTTCGAATATAACGAATTTTATCTAACAAACAAGGTTTTGCAACAAAAGAATCATGTGCATTGTTCATAATAACTTTGAATTTTGCCTTAATTTAACTTGGCTACACACGACACTTTTATTTTGATTGTATGAAAGGAAATATGTTGGAATTTATTCAAATACAGTAGAATCGCTGATTACCAAACTAAGAAGACCTTCCGGAAATGAGGAATTGGTTACAAAGTCCGGATATGAGGGTTTATATATAGATTAAAATAAAAGAACTGAAATCAGGTTTAACATTTATTTTCAATTTTTTATAGTAAATAAAATAAGTTAATGGTGAGTGAAATATAACGGAATTGATTTTAAGGAAAAAGAAGTAAATTATGTATTGTTAATGAAAATTCATTAAATTAAGTATGCCATTTATGCAAAACAAATAATGCAACGAGGACTTTTAATCGCTGTTGCATGATTATTCTTTCTCTTTTAATGTCATTCTCAACTTTTTCTGTATTTCGTTTTTCTTTTGTTCTTGAAATTTTTTAAACAAAAGACACTTTTTAACTCTGCGGGCGTTATTGCAATGCTGGCTTTCTTTCCATAAAACTGACAACCTTTCCAATAGCTTTTTCAATTCCAGTCCAGGTTTTATCATAATCATGCATCTTTCTGCAGATGTGTCTCGTTGTCATCCTTATTCCCATCATCTTTTGCACCAATACAAGCCATTAGGGTGAAATAAGCATAAGCAATTATCCAAAGTATATTTCCTGAAAAACAGAAGTTTCACATCCGTTACATATCACCCAAATAGTTCAAATATACACATCAAAATCACGTTCGGATATGCGGGATTCCGAATACGAGACACTCCGGATATGAGGAATTCTACTGTATTGCATTTTAAGTAAACTATACTTGACTACGAAAGAGAATTTTGCTAAATGCTTGATTTGTATTTAAAATATTTTCTCTTGTCTGATACATTCACATTAAAAAATTGAATATCTCAAAAATATTACTATTTATTCCATATCTTTATAATTGTTATATTGTCTGGATGTTTACGTTTGAGTAAATATCCCTGTTTTCTTTTTTAATTAATAGGAAAATTAACCTGTCTATATTCCTGAGATAAAGTTTTGTAACTATTTACACTATTTACATTCTTCGGATTCTTGCCATCATCTTTGTTGCTATATTCACAACGTTTCGGCTGTTGTACGCTCTTGTCTTCATCAGTATCTGTCTATATTTCTAAGATGAAGTATTGTAATTATTTACACTATTTACATTGTTCAGACTTATATCCTCATCTTTGGATTTTGTACGCTCCGTCCTTCTTCAAGTACACATGGGCCTGTGGATAAAGGCTTTGGTTGAATCCAGTGACGTGACCCAAAACGTTGTGAGTTCAGTACCTGGAAAAAAACTTAGAAAGTTGAGTTAAAGGGGGATAACTGATACTGAGACATCCATAAGTGTCATGGCACGTGGAACTAGAACAATCTAAACCCGGTAGACGAAATAAAGGGTTCAGTTCGAAATTCCAATCACCTGAGGAAGTTCGGAGCGTACAACGGCCGAAACGTCTTGAATACGGCAACAAAGATAAGGACAGCAGTCCAAAAAATGTAAATAGTTTAAATCATTACAATATCTCATCTCAGAAATCAGAAATATAGTGTAAAAAAAAAAAAAAGGAAAATTAATGCCTGAGAATGGCAAGAGGCATGTTTTCTTTAATACGAAATTTCTATCTCTATATAAACATTAATTTCTTTGTTTAAAAAAAAAGAACGAAAAAGATTTCTACTCAAACACGAGTACCCACTAAATATAACAATTACAGTTAAGGAAAACAATGTCGAATTAAAAATTCCTTTAATATTAAATATACACACACCGTTTATTTGTTGTTAGACATTCACGCAATGTATATATATATATAATGTGTGTGTGTTAAAAATCTTATTGAAATTTGTTTATAAAATATGCTCTCTAATAATTTTCGTAATCAAAATAAGTTAAGCATAGGTACTGTTATGTAATATCAATCTTCCTATATGGCAGTGAATGCTGGACAGAGACCTGAAGCAACAGCAGTCTGGTTCTACAAAAGGATGCTGAGAATATCATGGACCAAACATGTAAGCAATGACGAAGTTCTAGAGACAGCAGAAAGAAAAAGAACACTTATACCGAAAATCAGAAAAAGACCTGTTCAAATTTTTTGAGTCACATAATGAGGAAAGAGGGCTTGGAAAATCTGATACTCACAGGACATCTTGAAGACAAGAGGGACAGAGGAAAGCAAAGCATAACGTAGCTTGAGTTAATGGATGGCAGAGAAGGTTTGAGAAAGATAGAAAAAAGACAAAAATGTATTAAGAGATGAAAAGAACGGGAAATTATAAATAACCATGATCGTCAACACCCTGAAGGTACACGGCACACAGAAGAAGATCATGGCTGCTATAACCTTTCTTAAAACTCATTTGCCATTTTTGTTCCATGTCTCTGTTCTATACATGTGTTAGAACTTATTAAAATAGGTGTTAATTATCACAGATCTTTAGTTTATTGATCAACATCAATATTCATGAGATGATACTTCCCCAACCACTGCAATTCTAAGACCTTCAAGAATAAAGTCAACCGTCCGTTATCTATCCTAAATATTCTCATAATATGCACTTCTTACAATTTTCAAAATTTAAAAACGTTTGTATCAAATATTTCATAAAGACTATTTAAGAGGATGTTTCCCTGATCGATACAATCTTAACCTCTTCAAGTCTAGAGTCAACCGTTATCTGAAATATAATATCCTCACAATATATATATATATATTACATAATCCTCTTACGTTTGTACCAAAAATTTTTATCAAACTCCCGATAGGATGCTTATAAATCGATATAATCGTAAACCCCTTCAATTCAAGCTAATTCAACCGTTACCTATCCCACATGAATAAAAATATGTATATAAAAACCTAAGAATATTTAAGTCTTTATAACATCTTCATTCGGTAACGCTTTATCTTGAGTGGTTCTTGAACCTTGTATTGAGTGAACATATATTGGGTATATCAAAAATACTTTTACAAACTTTGGGGCGTGTTCCTGACATCAAAACAAAGACAAAAGTCCACGTAAACATATGTCCTCAAATCCTTCGTTCTTGAGTTAAGTTTAAAGAAAGTTTACTGTAGATGGCACTGTGTTGCCATATAGACACGGCTACATTTGTCATTCGTGTACATTTGTGGTTAGTCTGTCTTTAACGTTTAACGTGTGTAGTAGTGAGTTGACTAAGAAGTGTTCCGTTTAACAATGGCAGGATATTCATCTAAAACAGTTAAGAGATATGAATTTTAAATGCGACCGCGCGAATGGTAATGGTCGCGAGACCCCACTACTGTATCAGATTGCGTTTCCAGACCGAAGGCAGCCGAGTAACCCAACTTTTGTCACTGTCATCCGTCACGTTGCTGGGCCAGGATCCGTGGCACCACAAACTATGGTAATAAGTATTTAGGGGTTGTATCTTGGATTGTACATTTAACGGCGTCTACTGTAAACTTTAAACTTAACTCAATAAACGAAGGGTTTGCGGACATATGATTAAATGAACTTTTGTCCTTGTTTAGTGTGAAGAACCAAAGTTAGTAAAAGTGTTTTTGATACACCCTCGATATACTCTTTACGAAATCCAAATTTTGACAGAAATTAGTATTTGCCAAGGAACGGCTTGAATTAATAAAACAGGGACAAATACAATTTTCAAAATACCAAAACGTAAAGCAATTTAAGATATAAAATAATTAGAACACCGACCTTCCTATGCCTTGGTTTTTATCAATCTGGTATCATCAGGCATTAAGACTTATATATCAAATATGTGGTGCAGTTCAATTTATATTACATGAATCTTTCATACAAAAAGAAGATTAAAGTTATTGATATAAATGGTAAAAAACATCTTGATAAACAAATTTATTAAAGTTACATTAACCCACGAACCTCTCTGATGAATGATTATGATCCTTATTTTTAATAAATTCAAGTTGAATAAGGTCTTTTTTTTATTTTGCTAGTACTTTCAGCTGTATTCTTACATCCATTCTCAGGAATGGAAAATCACTGAAAAACCTTTGAGTTATTCAGCTAGAAAGAGAACAGGTTAAAATCGTTTTGTGTCAGACCCACTATGTCTTCCCAAATCAGCAATGGTGAGAAGAAAAAAGATCATTCAGGCCTTCAGTAATGGTACCAACATTCATACTCTGGCTTCCATCTTCAAAGTCCATTCAAGAACCATCAAGAGAACGGTGAATAAGGTTAAAAAAAAGAGGGAACAGAAGCGAGGAAAACTGGATCAGGAGGTCACAACAGGAAGAGTGATCATCATTTCACCTTAGAGCTAAAGAGATCAATTAGAAAAGA